AAAGGAAAACAGGAATGAATGAAATTTTCATAAATAAAAAACGGATTGAAGAAAAAATAATGCAATTTTCTTCGAACTGAAAGATAGATTTTAAACACATGCGGATGAAAACCCAATAAAAATCGGGTTAATACATTGTTGTTAAATGTTTTTTTAATGCCTTTTTATGATTGTGTTTAAAAAAAAGATTTATTTCGGATAAATTTTTGAAAAAATATTTTCAATTCGTTTTAACTGATATTTCACATAATATATTTCTAAAATTATATATATATATAATATATATATATATATATATATATATATTATAAGAGACAAGACAGATAGATAGATATAGACAGATAGATAGATATAGATATTATATTATATTATTTTTTTCAAATACTTACGAAAATATTAATTACAGATTCAATTTTAATTTATTGTTCGTTCAGGAGGATCCTAAATTTAAATAAGATGTGTATTTAGATAGCAGTAATTCTTTCAGACATGTTTGGTTAAATAAAATCGACAAATTCTATCTATCAACTGTTCATTAAATTATTTAAATTTCTGAATTGTTTTATATTATCGGTAATATATTTTAATTATACAAACAAATTTTTTTAACAATAATATAAAAAAACTTATTTATATTTGGAATACACACACACACATAATAATACACACACACATATATATATATATATATATATATATAACGAAAAAAAAATACAGAAAAAAATAAAAAAAATCTGAATATGCAATTATGTATATTAATGTTAAAATAAAAGTCGACGTCGGACATATTTCGGTCTATTTAAGACCATCTTCATGGACATTTTCATTTAAACATAATTAACATTAGAACTCAAAACAAAAAATTTAAAAAAAAGACGATGGACATAAGAGCCCAACTAATCCAAACAGATAACTGAAATTTTATACAGATCAGCGTTCCGTTTAAATATGATCACGTAGTCGTCACGTGGGCGATGTTGTTAAAACGTATTCGAAGATGATTTCAAAAAATTAAAATATTAAAAAAGTCGATTGAAAAATTTTATATAAAACAGTTCAAGAAATATCTTCTTCCACTGATGTCGGAATAAATAGTGATCAATAGGTTTTTTATTTTTCATATATAAAAGTCCTTCCCGTTAACAAGGCAAATAAAAAATGATTAAAAAAAAACGATGGAACAGTTAAAAAAACAGTTCGATAATAAATCCATTAAATATATATTGATATTTGATATCCATATAAAATATTATATCTGTTTGGAGATATTTTAAATTGAAGATCTTATGTCCATCGTCTTTTGTGTTAATTTTTATATGTTCTAATGTTAATTAAATTTAAATGAAAATGTCCATGAAGATGAAAGATTAAATAGACCGAAACGTCCGAGAATCGAGTAGATATTTTATAAAAAAATTGAATGGGATGAAATTGCATATTCAAATTTTGTTTGTCAAGATGATTAAAACGATTTGGATATTGTCGGATTTATATCCATAGATTTTTTATATATATATATAAAATATATATATATATATATAATGTATTTGTGTGTGTGTGTGTGTGTGTGTGTGAAATTTGAAACTAATGAGAAATATTTTTAAATTAATTTTTTAAAATACATATATATATATATATATATATATATATATATATATATATATATATATATATATATATAAAAAGAAATTTTTGCAAAATTTTAAATGGAATTAATCTGAAAAAATTGGTTCAGCAAAATTAAAAAGGATAAATATATATATAGATATATATATATATATATATATATATATAGTCTAAAATATATTTTATTGAAACAAATACACGCCTCTGAATTTTTTTTCAATGGTCACTTTTATATTTATATTTACATACGTTCTATCTCTGATATTGATTACTTTATTCCATAAATATAGCATATTTATAAAATTATATTATATATATATATATATATATATATATATATATATATATATATTTATTATTATTATTATTATTTTTTATTATTATTAAATTGAAAAGTTTGAAATTCTAATTTGAATTTTATTATATATATATATATATATATATATATATATATATATATATATATATATATATATATGTACGTATGTATGGATGAGTGTATGTATAATCGATAGTTGGTCATAATTGAATCCTACCAGGTTACGGTTGTATTAAAAGTGCTCTATGGAAATCAAAAAAAATTGAACGTGAAGAGTTTTAAAATTAAATATTTCACACCTGCTACCATTGTTTCAACCATTAAGGCCTCGCCAGGTGCTAGATACTAGTTAAATTCCAAACTCATTTTTATTGCAAGCCTTGTTGGTTGAAAATAATATAGCGAGTAAATGATTATAAATAATTTTTTATAATATACGAGGGTCATTCAATAAATAAGGTGAATTTTTTCGGTATAAGGACTTTAATACAGATAGAAATTTTTTTTTTTTTTTTCAACGTAGTCTCCCAGCACTGTCACACAATTTTTTCCCATCTGTGCACAAGCTTTCCGTATTCCTTCAGCGTAAAAATCTTTTGGACTGATGTCTCAGCCAGTCGCTCACAACACTTTTGACTTCATCGTCACTTTTTAAACTTCGTGCCTCTCGTGAACGCTTTCAAGGGACCAAACAGGTGAAAGTCTGAAAAATATCAAGGTCTGGGCTGTAAGGGGGATGAGGGAGCAGTTCCCAGCCCAGCTCGTTGATGGTCTGCACCGTTTGGGCTGCTGTGTGAGGCCTTGCGTTGTCATGATGCAAGATGACTCCTTCTGACTGATGACCCCTAGCGTTTGTTCTTTATGTCTTTCTTGACCTGCCTCAGCAGTTCACAGTAGTTCTTCTGTCAGACTGAATGAGGTCATTGATTGATTCGATCACCTCAGGAGACCTCACTTTGTAGGCCTCCCAGGCCTGTCTTCATCCTCAACACTGCTCCGTCCTTCTTTAAACAATTTAGCCCACTTGTAGACATTTTTTGACTGAAACATGATGGCACCATACACAGTTGACATTCTCCTATGAATTTCAACTAATTTTTATTTTTATTTCAGCATGGAAAAAAACTTGATAACTGACCGCTGTTCAATCCTGGAGCATGCTTCTTGGTCGGCCATAATTTTGTTAATCGCCAAAACTCTCAAAGATTTTTTTTTTTTTTAATCTGCAAAAGAAATTAAATCCATGTGAAAAGAAATAAAAAAAAAAAAAAAAAAAAAGTAAGCTTCTATCTGTATTAGAAGTCCTTATACCTAAAAAATTCAATTTATTTATTGAATGAATGTATATATATATATTATATATATATATATATATATATATATATATATATTATATATAATATATATATATATAATAAATGAATTTCTTGAAAAAATACGGCAATTATTTGATTTTGGCAAGAATTTTAATAAAAAGTATGTTTTTGTAACGCAAAACAGACGCTAAATTTCCCAGAGTAATTCTTGACACACTGCCGATGTAAGAAAAATAAAGATATTTAACCAAAATTTAGAACGTACTAGAAAGGATTAAAAAAATTTAATAAAATAATAAAAAAAACTTTGGTTTTTCTTCGTAAAGTTAAGATAAATGTTTTTAGCGTTAAATTTTTTTTTATAATTAAATTTGATATTTTTTTTATCATCATGTTATGCTGTTTCAATGGACCAAAAAGTGAAATATAAAAAAAATATTAATATATATATATAAAGAAATGGACAAGGTCCGACAATTTATTTATTAAAGACATTTTTATGTTTAACGTTGTTATTTATAGATACAAGTATTTAAGCAAATGCTCTGTTTATGATAAACAGTATTAAATAATATTTACCGGCCTGAATGTCCGAGAAATTTTCATAGAAAATATTCGTTCTTTGACAAGGATTCGAACCTGCATCCTATACGGAACCGTCATATACGCTGACGTGCTTTAACCTCTCGGCCACATTTTTAACGATAACCAGCAGTTCAAATTACGAGATTCATGGAAGATTGATTTTATAAGATAAGAAATCGACCGAACGGTAAATATTATTTACCTAACGTATTCTTAAAATTTTTTTACATATATATATATATCTATCTATCTGAATTTGACACTTTATCCCATAAATATAGATTTTAAGACTATATTTCTTCATATATATATAAATATATTAATATATATATATATATATATATATATATATATATATATATATATATATATATGTTTTTTTCTATTTTTATTTTGTTAATTTACGTTTAGGACATTTTATTCATCAAATTGTATATTTTGAAACACCAAAACTACTGACTTGATTATATGATATATTTACAATATATATAAGTTTAGGTCGACGACCAATATAGTAAAGAAATATTCAAATGTTTTTTTGTTTTCTTTTTCTTGAAACTAAAACCCATTATACGACGCTTTGAAAGGCTCATAAGAAAAACATAATAGAATTGGTTATATGTTAAATTTAACAATATATTTGAAAATATATATATATATATATATATATATATATATATATATATATATATAAATTTTTACTTTTGAATGTGGCTAAATAAAATTGCTTTTAAGGATTATAAAGTGTTATGAATTTAATTAGCATCTACCTCCTGACGATAACATCAAAAGCAACTTATTTTGAAAAATTAAAAAAAATGTAATTAAAAACTGATAAATAAAGCGGGTTCATTTTATTTGACAAAACATGCATATACCTATATACATATATATGCATGTAACATATACACCAAAGATATATGTAGACATTGATTCTCCCCCACTCTTTCTTTCTCTTTCTCTCTCCTCGTCTCTCTCCTTATCTCTTTCTCCTTCCCTCATTTCTCCTTCTCTTCTTCTCTCTTTCTCTCTCCCTCTCTTTCTGCCTCTTTCTCTCTCCTCTCTTTCTCCTTCTCTCTCCCTGCCTCTTTCTCTCCCTCCTTCTCTCTCTCTCTCTTTTTTTCACTTTCT